CTGATCTCAACTTTTTCTTCTTGAGATAAGACCTCAGGGCTGATGTGAAGAGGAAGGAAGCAGAGCTAGCTCTGGCTGGCCAATGTGGCTTTGCATGGGAGACCTCCTTATGACCTCCTTATGCTTTGCTCTGTCCTGCTTATGGACTCAAACCCCCGAGCAGCAGATCACGGTGTACAGCAGGTGGGTCTGGGCCACAGGATCTGGAGAGGGATCCTGGTGATGTAGTTCTGCAGCATAAATGTGGGTGGTTTGGCTCTCCCCCCTGGAGAAGAGGGGTGAGGAGGATGCGGCAGCTCAGGTGGACACAGGGCAATTCCCAACCCTCATTCAGGCAATACAGACAGCGCCCAAGGCACAAAGCCCAGCCAGGCTGGGAGGGGAGGCACCTGCCGAGAGAACCAACAAGGTGCTCCTCACAGGCAAGAGGACAGAAAGCAGCCACTAGTCAGCAATGGGGCTCATTTATTATCTCATGAGAACGAGTGACAAACAGCTGCAGTAACGTCAGCAGAACCAAAGCTTTGCCCAGGGCCTGAGCCCTGAGCGAGGGCTCTCTGCTGCGCCACCGCACTGCGAGGGCTTGTGGTGGACAGGATGGATTTGGGAGATCCCTGAGCAGGGAGTGAATTTGAGGCTGTTCCCAGTGGCCTGTGTCATCTTGATGCCATCATCCCAAAAAGATGCCTGACCTTGAAATAGGAAAAGGAGAATTCAGCCCCCAAAATGGGTATACTGTGTATGGGACATGTACCCAGAACTAACAGCCTCTTCCAGGAGTGAGGTTTGGGGACACTGAGGGAGCCAGACCCATTTTCACCACACTTGACCAGGATCCAGGTGACTACAGACAGGAGTGCCCCAGGTGCTGCAGTGGGTGAAGGTGGGGTGGTGGTGAAGGTGGTGGCAGAACACTGTGCCCTTGGGCACCTTGGCCAGGTGCTGCTGAGTGACCTCAGGCACAGCACAAGGGTTTTCCTGGGAAACTATTGGAACGTGGCTACCGTGGGGTTCACAGAGCCCTTGTGATACACTGTGGGTCAGTTTGAAAGAGGGGCTGAGCGCCCCCAGCTCCTGGTATTAGCTGGAATTGGGACTTCTGCCCAACCCGTGAGGCTCCCAGTGGAGACTCCTAAAACAGAGGTGGTTCAAACCTCAGGCACACACATGGATATGCTGCTTTTAACCCCCTTCTGCTCTTCCAGATGATGGCGTGGAGCAGACACCAGCCCATTTCCAGGGATCTGTGAGACCTGCAGAGAGCCCCAGAGGAGAAGGCCTGAGGTCCCCGTGGGTTTCCATGTCATCACAGTTGGCCATTTCCATGTGTTGCCACAGAGCAATGACTTTTGCTAAGATGTCTCTGCCTGGAGAAGACACACGTGGCTTTGCTGCAGGCTCCTCCTGGCTGGCGATGCTGCAGGACGAGGAGGAGGAGGAGGGTGGCCCTGCCCCACCTCCTGAGCTAGTGTGGCTCTCTGCCAGGCAGTCCCTAGCAGGAGAGACACACAGGGGTTGTCTCCTCCCATGGCCAGCCCTGAGTGTCTGGAGCTCAGTCAGAGCCCTTCCAGGCGAGGGGCACCTGGCAGAGCAGTGCTTGTGGCCCAGGCAGGTATGATGGGGGTGAGGGTAGACAGGTTGTACTGGTGCCTTACAGGGAGCAGCCTGTGTCTCCTTGCTGGCCCCTGGCACTGCCCTCGGCATGCGCTGTGGGGCTGTTCCGCACGGCTGCTCAGAGGAGGTTTATAAGTGAGATGTGTAGGGTGGTGTGGGTGGGGAGGGGAAGAAGGTTATCCTCAGGCTGCTGCTGGACAGATCTCGGCTCTCTGAAGTGATCAGCACCTCACTGTCATTGAGGCAGGGGCAATGCTCGGAGAAGCTCCTCTCCTTCCCCCTGGTGCCCACCCGCTGCTGGCAGGGGATGAGCGTCATGGAGGGGAAGCTGTAGCTGTCGAGGATGGGGTGCACTCCCAGGGAGTCAGGTGTCTCAAACATGTGGTCGATGTCAGAAAAGCTCACCAGAGCTTGCGTAGAGTCATAGGAACTTTTTTCCATGTCATCAGCCCCGCAGGACTGGGGGAAGCTCCCCTTGTCCTGTCCCTTCTGCCTCAGCAGGCGAAGGTCATCTCTGAAGTGGGGGTTGAAGAGCAGATAGAGCAAGGGATTCAGGCAGGCAGGGAGGGGCAGGACCACGAGGAGGACGGATTTGATGACCTCTGGGGTGATAAGGAAGAGGTTGAGGGTAGAGGAGAAGGTGAGGAAGGCCACTGGGCAGTAGAGGAGGCAGTTGGTGAAGATCAGCCAGGCCACATGCTTGACCATGGCGCAGTCCCAGACAGCGCTGAACTCCCCCTTCAGCAGGTTGCAGTAGAGTCGGATGTAGGTGCCGGTGATAGTCAGGAAGCAGAGCATGTTTGTCATCACCAAGGCCACAGTGAAGCCCAGGGTGGCAGGTTTCCCATCTGGGATGGGATATGGGAGGCAGAGAGGGGATGCTCCATATTCCCCAATGGAGAAGAGAGGCAGAACGGCAGCCATGGAGGACAGCAACAGGCAGCAACAGGCAGCAGCCTTGACCTTGCCTAGGGAGGATGACTTGCCGTAGCCCCTCACACAGGAGGCCAAGATGCTGCACTGTACAGCAGCCAAGGTGAGCAGAAAGATGGCAGCCTGGGAGGCAAACACGGCCAGGAACCCTGTGACCCTGCAGCCTGCACCTGTCTCCCATCGGGCGCCGTACGTGGCAAAGTGGCCGTAGGTGAGGGCGTCCACGAGGGCCAACATGCTGCAGGAGATGCCAGTCAGCATGTTGGCCCCAGCAATGGAGCCAATGATGAACTTGACCGGAGAGAGGTAGCTGGGAGAGGCAAAGACAGCCAGGATGACCAGCCCATTGCACAGCACCGAGACCAGCACGATGATCCACACTCCAAGGCGGATGACCCAACTCTCAAACAGCTGATCGCAAGGCTTGAAGGGACCTGGAAGACAACAAACCCCAGAGTTATACCTAGCAGAAACCGCTTTGCTCACAGCAGTGGACAGGTCCAGCCCTGTCCTGGCCCCACCAGCCCCAAGAATGCTGAAGCATGGAGCACATGGCATTGTCTGCTCTCCTCTGCAGCTGCCTCTTGGCTCTGTCCCTGCACTCCTGTCCCCACACTGGGGTGCCTCTGGCATCCTCTCAGATCTTGTCTTGGGCAGAAACAATGTGCATGGAGAGGTCAAAGTGGAATGTGAGAAATGGCAAACTTATCAGAGCTCCTAAGACATGAAAAGGTTGGGACTGCAGACCCAGTAACACTCTGGTGTCATCCTGGCATTTGGGCCCCTCTGCCATTACCGACTCCTTCTCATGTGCCCCCTGGGATCTGGGAGTTAGTGGTGTGGAGATGTGTGAGATCTGTCAGGATGTTGCATCCTGCTCGGGCTTCACCAACCTCTGCCTGTACTCTCAAGACCTTGGCTAAAAGGTGTCTGACTCTTCCTGCATGAAAGGCCTCTACAGAGAGAGGATGGCCACGAGGAGGTGAAGTGTTTGTGCAGGACGGAGACAGCAGGCAGGGAGGAAGAGAGGGAGGGAGCTGGGGTGGCAGGGAAGGGACAGAGGGAGACCTCAAGGAGAACATGGGAGGACATCAGGAGAAAGAATGGTGGTGGATAGACATGAAGAGCAGGACGAGTGAGTAAGGGAAAGTCATGGAGTGGTAAAAATGGGACTGGTGGTGGATGTTGTTTGCCAAAGGAAAAGGAAGAGTGGGGAGAGAGAGAGAGAGAGAGTGCAATGGGACAGAGTTGCCTCTGGGAAGGATTGGAATGTTGTACCGAGGGGCTCAGCAAAACCAAAAAACAGGATGGGAGAAGATTTAGGTGGTAGAGAGCAAATGAAATTAGAGGAAATGGATAAATCTTGTTTGCCTCAAAGGAGATGGAGCCCAGAGCACCAGCACCTCTGGGTCCAGGCAGCAGCACATGCTCTCAGCTAAGATCTATTCCTTCTTGTCTCTTTTGCAGCAAACTTAGTGGGACAGCTGCTGAAAACTCTGTCCCTGCCAGTGTCCCACAGCTGCCTGGATAGAGATGTGCCTCTCCAGCCTCCAGTTGTGCTAGTGTGGGACCCCACTGAGCTGTGAACAGGGACAAAACCAGAAGGCAGCTTCCTCAAGTCCCAGCCAGCTTGAGCCTGCTGCAGTGTTTGTGGTGGGAATCAGGAGGATGTGGCTGGGAGCAGTCCAGCACCTCCTGCTCTCCCTTTCTCAGGAAACAGAGCAGAGTTCCCCTGCTGTCTGCAGTGCCACAGGAATGATCAGGAGATTAAGGACACGGTCTCGCAATGCAGTATCCCAGGCTGGCTGGGACAAAGCCAAGTCTAAGTTGTGCAAGGGAACAGGGACTTGTGGAGAGTCAGAGTCTGAGTGCAACAGGTTGGTAGATGGAGATGATAACTGGGATTCCTCCTCAGGCATCCCCTGACCTTGTCCTCTCCTCATAAGAGGGCAGCTACACCTGAGTGGGAAAAGGAAGGTCCTCACTTGTCCCCAGTTTGGCCTAAGCCCAACCATTCAGCTGATCTGAAGGGTGGTGGGAGATCCTGGGGATTTATAGAGCTCAAAGGATCCCAGCTGAGTTCAGTGGGTTTCCCTGGCTGCTCACCGGGGCTTGGTGTGCACTGAATAGTGGGGTGCAGCTTTGATTCCTCAAGGTCCAGCTGGAGGTCATCTGCATCTAGGTCATCTGGGGAGAAAACAAGGAGAAGTGATGCTCAGAGAAGAATGAGCAGAGCCATCGGGGCTAACTAGGCCAGGAGCTTTTCCTGCTGCCTGTCCTCCACACAGACCTTCCCAGCCAGTCTCAGCCCACAAGTTCAAAGGAGTTGTTGATGTCCAGTTTTCCCCCTGCAGTCACTGCTGTAGAGGGAGAAGGTCTTGTAAACGTTGATGAGTTGCAGTGTAGCCAGCTTTTTGGATACTCCCAACATTTGAGTGTAAGAGCCCCAGATCCCAGAGCTGTGTGACTGTGGTTCCCTCCTCCCAGCATGTGTTATTAAAAGTGAATAAATACTCCAGCCTGTGTGGTTACAGAACACAAAGCCTTCAAATGCATCTTCTCCATGGGAGCTTTCTGGGCAGGCCTTGTCCCTGCTCATGACCAGGGACTTTGGGGTTTTGTTCAGAGAGGGCCATTAGCCTCTTCTTGCAGCACAAATTCTTTGTCAGCAGCCGCCACCACCACCAAACAGCTCAGCAACAAAGAGACAAGGGAGCCCAACACTTATTGCTTTATTTTAGGTCCTGTGAGTTCTTTGGACTGTGGTGCCTTAGTTTTAATCCTGGAGGTTCCCAGGATTTGCTGAAGTGGGATTGGGAGTGGTTGCCCATGGTTGCACTCTGCATCCATGGGGTTTGTGCTGCCAGACAGCAGAGCCCAGCCCTGGGCCAGCACCTCTGTCACACCAGCTACTGAACCTGAGCCAGGCTTGGGCTCACTGAGGGTCAGGCAGAGACCTCCTGGCTGAAGAAGCTGCTGGAAGGGAATGGGGCTGAGACCTCACCCATGTTTTCAGTGTAGGTCATCACCAAGGTGAATGGCATCCTCTCAGTCTAACCCAAGATGTGCTTTTCTACTGTGTTTCTTGCTCCTCTTCTCAAGCTCCTGCTGGCTGGCAGTGCTGGGACACAGTGAGGACTGCCCCATCCCCACCCATGGCACAGCATGGCCTTCTGCTCTCAGTGGAGATCTTTGGAGGTTTTTCTGCCAGCACGAGGAAAGGAAAAGGATGTGGTTTTCTGCTTGCTGCTGCCTAGTAGCCAGGGAGATGGATCTGTGGCTGTGGGATGAACTCTCCCTTGGATGAATGGACTGATGCTGGTGCCCAGGTGTGCACCTGGCAGCTCAGACACTTGGCAGCTCAGACACTGGCCAGAAAGGCAAGTTTCCACAGTGCTGAAGATGTGGCTAACCTGAGTGGGATTTAGTTGCCTAGTCTGTTTAGAAGTGGTGCCTCTCATGAGGTCTGCTCCCTGCCTGTGTTTGGAAAACGACTGGGGTTATTTGATTAAGGAATGATGACAAACAACGTGCTATCTTTAGTGCCTCCTGACAAGCTTTGTGGCTTACTCGGCTTCAGGGAGCTTTGGGAAAAAAAATAATTTTTAAAATCTGTGTAAGAGTTGAAATATTGCTCCTGCTTTGGAGCCTGGCAAGGAAACACTCACAGTGGGATGGAAAAATATTTCATCCTTGTATTTTATAGGCTTATAAATCTCCAGTGTCTTTTCCAGCCACATGTGGAGGCTGTGATGTGCAGTCACGACACCCAAATCACACAGACACAGACCCCCCCCCCCGAGACACAACCCTTGGGAAAGTGTCACCTGCCTCATCCCTCCTCTCCTCAAAGGGCTGGTTTGGAGCCCAGGTTAAACATTTGCATGAAGTGAAGAATGATCTTTTGTTTTGCCTGGACTCCTGAGCCTGTGGGAATTGCAAAGCAATCCCTGGGCAGCACAGTGGGATTCAAAGCAAAAAATGCACCTCTCTCTTCTGGAAACCAGCAGTGCTCCAGCCTGGGAGCTGTGGAGAAGGGAAAATGGCTGTTGTGTCCTAGCAAGGCAAGGAGTAGTTTTTGATTTGGGTTGTGCTGAGCTGCCTCCACTTGCTGAGGTCTCATGGAGAAAAAAAACCACTTTGCCAGTAGTGCCCTTTCCATGGAAAATGGTTCCAGCTGGGCTGACTGTGGGAGGAAGAGGAGAATTGTTGGAGAAGGGGTAGAACAAAACCCACTGGGCTAGATGCGGCTTCCTCTGTACTGCTGTGTGCCTCAGCCAGGACTGCCCCCGGGGGAACTGCAGGGAACTGCCCTTTCCCTCTGAGTTAGGGCACAAGTGGCTGCAAGGGCAGGTGCTGTCTGGAACTTGAGTAGCCTGCTTGAATGACAGAAGTAGGAAAAGTATAGCTCTAAGGACCCTCCAGGGTTTGCCAGGCGCCTGTAGAAACTCATTAGTAGCTTTACAAACTGTTGAAGGTGCTGGGCTGGGGCAAGCAGTGTCCTGTTGCCAAGGATAACTGTACATGTCTGCTCTCTTCTCACTTGCCATAGCTTTTTCCATTATTGCACATACTTCCTTGTGAGTGAACACATCCCTTTCCATCCTCAAACCAGGGGTCCTGAAGGGAGGTGCTGGGATGGTGATGGAAGTGGCCCATGGCAATGGTAGTACTTGCATTTCTGCTCTCCCTCTGCAGCCAGTGCTGGGAGCTGTCAGGGGGTGCTGGGGGATCTCCTGGGTGACAGACCCAGAGCCATCTTTGGGCTACTGCCCAGTCACAGGGGACAGATCTGGAACAGGGAGTGTCTGCCAAACACTGCTGATTGTAATCCAAAGAGGCTGAGAGAACTGGGATTGTTCAGCCTGGAGAAGAGAAGGCTCTGAGGTGACCTTATTGCAGCCTTCCAGTACCTAAAGGAGCTCCAAGAAAGCTGGAGAGGGACCTGGGACAAGGACATGGAATTATATGGAGGGGAAATGACTTCATACTCACAGAGGGCAGGGTTAGATTGGATATCAGGAAGAAATTCCTCCCTGTGGTGAGAGGGGTGAGGCACTGGCACAGGTTGCCCAGAGCAGCTCTGGCTGCTCCATCCCTGGTCCCAGGCCAGGTCGGACAGGGCTTGGAGCAACCTGGGCTAGTGGAAGGTGTCCCAGCCCATGGCAGGAGCTGGAATGAGATGAGCTTAAGGTCCTTCCAACCCAAACCAATCTGTGATTCTGAGCGCAAAAAATGCTGGAAATGGGACCTTACATCTCTGTTGTGACAAGGTGAGAGAGTGATGAGCCATGCACTGACCACACTCCTTTGGGCCTTAGGTGGCTGTTGCTCAGATGTGAATGGACACACCTGGGTGGTGGTCAGTGGGTTCCAGGCATCCAGGGCCCTGGGAGGATGGGAAAGAGCTGAGCTGGCTCTGAGGTCCATGGCACCACATGTGCTCTGTGGCTGGAGTAGACATTCCCTTGGATGCTGGGCTTGGCTGAGGGCTGGATGTGGGAGCAGGACAGGCTGCAGGAGCCATTGCCTGGCAGCTGGAGCAGGGTTGGGCCATCTGGACCCCATTTCTTGCCCCTACACTGCTGCCTGGCTCAAGTCACCTTTCACCATCCGACTGCGAGGGGCTGTGGATGCGCTTGGGAAGGGCTGGAAGTACCATGAAAGGCTGAGAGGACAGAGCTGTCTGGAACTATTCCCTGTCCCTCTCACAAGTTCCCCCACAGCATCCAAAAGCCTCAGTGCATACTGCCAGGACACAGCCCGAGGGGTTTCCTTTGAACTCGACCACTTTCCCTCTTGCATGAAAGGAATGTTTGAGAGCTTTTATCCTCTTTAATGAGGAAGTGTTACAAGGGTCATATAACCCAGCTAAATGCCATCTGTGGCCATCACAATGGGAGCTCTGGGAACAGAAATAAAGCAACGATTAATTAAGTAAAACAGCAATGTCACAAACCCCTCATCAGCCAGAGCTGACCCTGTGTGGCTGAATGGTAAGCAGAGTCATCTGCAAAAGCAGCACATGGTCAGGAAGGATGTTCCAGAGTATTTCACATTTGCACCTCTCTGCTTTGATATTTAAAGTCAAATCCAATGCTTTAACATCTGAAAATGGGATCCTGTATGAGCTGCTAAATAGCCTTATCTGGCACATCTTAGAATCAGTCAGAATTCACCTCCAGTACCAGTATCTCATGAACACGCCACACCATCCATGAGCCTGAGACTGGCTTGGAGGCCTGGGTGCCTGTGGTAGGTGTTGGTCAGCTCACAGGGCCAGGAGAGCATCCTCTGAGACACCACAGGCTCTGGTGTCCAGCAAGAGCAGGTCTGTGAGCAGCACTGTGGGCCTCCATCACAAAGATCTGTAGCTTGATGGGCAAAGCCCCAGCTATCTGCACCAGGACAGTCACAGCATGAGCTGCATTGCTGGTGCCAAAACTGACCTAGCTGAGAAGAAATTCCTGCAGCAATGGCCATAACATGTGGCTCCTCTGTACCCTCTGCCCAGTATCACCACCAAGGCTACGATGCTTCCCAGAGCACACTGTGCCAATAGGAATCACACTTGCTGCTCTCTGGCTGGACTTTGTACATGTGATCTATGAAGGATCAGGGCAGGAATAGGCACACAGGGCTCAAGTCACTCACTGGCTGTGTCACAATGTGTCTGGGTCATCCTGCCTGTAACACAGAGTGCAACAGCTCTGGATCAATATCTGTCCTGCCTGATCCAGTCTGGATCCAGTCCTGCCTGCTCAGAGTGCGGGAGGAGACTGCAGAGCCCCTGGCTACGGGAGCAGGTGGGCCAGGGGCTCCCCAGGGACTCAGCCCTCTCTCCATGTCATCATAGAATCA